ATTTACTGGGTTGACGATGGCTACATTCATAAAATACTAGTAGTTTATCCCAAGATCTAAGATCTATTCCTAACAATGGAATAACCAGGATGTGTACAGTTTTGTGGTTCTCCTCATACATTAATGCAAATACAACTCAGTTTTTCTTCAAAAAGCTTTCAAAGAAAATATTCTCCTTAAGCAGATGGTCCTAATATATTTCACCAACATCAAATAATTCAAGCCAATACATTGTGCTACTTTAAATGCTCCACTTATAAGCAGCTATTAAAAGCTTTGCCCTACACTACTGAATAATAACATAAAAGTCTAAGACTCATTTTTATAGTTGTCAAAGTATTCGAAAATAAGAACATCTCCCCTTCACACACAAAATAGGAAAAAAGCAAGGGAGTAATAAAACAGATGAGCAATAAATCTGATTTTATTTTCTCTGATTAAATAAATCTGATTTTAGTATTATTATTTATTTATAAGATTTAGTATATAGAATAAAAAGAATATATATAATGTGTGTGTAAGATAAAAATATGAAAGCAAACTTCTAAATTTAATTCACTATAACCTCTTTATTTTCTATTTCATTTGGGAACTTCATCTATCTGTCCTAAAAATAGCGCTTAAGTCTAAACTGCATCATTCAAATCAATCATGCGATCTTACGTAACCCTTAATGCAGATTCCTCTTGACCAATCACCAAATTGCAAACCAAAACTTTTCTCTTCGCGTGCTTCCATCTTGCATAACTACACACTTCAGCTTTGCTCTCTACTTTGCTAAGACGTAATTTTGCTGGCTTGCTTTCTATCTCAACAATATCAAAAATATTAAATCTTCTGTGGAAAGGCAGGACTAGAGTGCCAAGTGATTGTGGTCACAAATATCAATTGGAAATAAAAATGGAATTAAAACCGCCACGACTGTCAAGTTCTTTAGATACTACGCAATCAAAATTCTTCTTCAATAAGGATCTAAGCCCACATCGTTACTGCTCAGGCTCTTGTGCGTTTTTTTATTATTTCATATATATATTTGCAAAGAAGAGGAACATTCTAAATAGCTATTACTTAAAAGTACATTTCATACTGCAGTTCCAGAGTAAAAAAGTCCCACTGTGTATAAACAATAAAACAATACTACAGAAGTAAAAGTTATTGTGGAAATACCTACTGTAAAAACTACAAAATGATAAAAAATTCAAAAACAAAACAGGATTAGATAGGGATATATATGTGTGTGTGATAATTTAATGCGTAAGAGGAATCTGATATTTTAATAGCTTGCAGTCTTAGATGGCTGAATGGAAAGATGATGACACAATTGAATTTTGAAGAAGTGCCACTCTTTATTTTCACATATGTGAAACCATCTCAGTTGACACTTATCCAGTCATAATGAATTACAATAATTCTTATATACACAGATAGAGGGATACAACATCATTTTAGGCAAGCGGGCTTAGCAGCAGGGATATGCTAGCAGTGCTGAAACTAGGAAAAGAATGACATAATTAAATCATGAGTGGTATTTATACTGAAGTAGATGCAATTGTAGAGACAAGCTATAATTGTTAATTTTAGTTTTAGTTACTTTTTCAAACAATGTTATATAACATGGGAAGATCTCAAATTTGGGAGAACAGATGAATTTAGGGGGACAGCTCCAAATCTAGAATAGTTAATTTTGAGGTCACCAATTATTTTTAAAGCAGCTATCGTATTTTGTTACATCTTACATATATACACATATTTAAATTACAACAAAAAACATAAAAGGAACTTGAAAATTCATCCTGTGCAAACTGCTGCAATGTTTTAATTAATAAATAATGTAAAGTAAAAATAATTTTAACTAAATAGCAAAAGAAATTAAGTAAAAAATATAATGATATTGAATTTTCAAAAGTATAGAAATCAATATCAAAATGGGACTGCCAGTGAAAACAATGGTAAAACAAACTTTTAATAAAAGAACAAATTAAGTGGATATAAAAATACACAAGGAAAAGTTGTATTATCACTCTTTGACTTTTACTTTGTCAAGACAGGATCAGCTATTGAGTGACAACACCTCTTCTGCAGAATCATTTTTTGTTTCTGTTCACTTAAAACTAAACAAGGAATTTAATGAATACATGTTCTTTAGCACCCCTAAAAATTAAATAAGCCTCCTCTACAAAATCAAACAAGGAATTTAATGAATACCTGTTTAGCACCCCTAAAAATTAAATAAGCCTCCTCTACAAACAACAAAAAAAAAAAAAAAGAGTCTCTACACCCCAATTTTTATAAAAAATGTAAAATGCAATATGTAACAATTTTTTTAAGGAAACTATACAGAAGCTTTAAGGTATATAAATGATCTGAAACTTAATTGATTGTTGCTGTTGCTAATCTTCAAGTCCAACTTCTGCTAGACTTGAGGATTAGACCCCTCTAGTCCTGAAGGTTGCCTCATCGTGGTGAGGAGGTGTCACTGGGTGGAATGGGTGAAGTACGCCTGGAGAGTATTCTCCTGGTAGGGTCACCTAAGGCATGAAGGCTATTCCACTATACCCAGCTAAACACCTACAGGCAAAGGAGCTCAGTCCTCTACCTCTGGTGCTCAGGTCTTTGGACTAACAGAGGCTGCCTTTTGTCCTCCGTCTATGAGTTATGAACTTATTAATTTACATTAATAAAATTAACAAACTAATAATTATTCTGTATCAATAAAATTACAGTGGAAAAAATAACTACAAAAAACAATACCGAACAAAAGGAACATACTACTTAGAAACTGGGATGAAGAATGCCGTTAGAAGTTGGTAAACTCAAAGGAGCACAGAGAAGAATGTAGCTGGCTTGCCTCAGGCTAGTATTAATCTCGCCATGCAAAAATAGCGAATGGACTGTATGTTAAATGAATAAATTAATATTTACACTGCTCATTATTGAAAATGCACACAAGAAGGAGTGGTCAGAAATTTATGCAATTAGAGTAGACACACGTCACTGAGTTATGCGAATGATGTGAAATGCACACTCCCGATGCATGTGAAGTAAGATATAAGGGAGGGAATGTGCAATATTCGTGTGGTTATTTCTGCCAGACGAATTATCGAAGAAAGTTGGTTTTTATCCAGAGGATACGCGCACGAGGCAACAAAGGCACTTCCAGCAGATAAAGATTTACGAGGGGTATGTGATCGGACTGTGAAGGAGGGTTGTCCTTACGTCAATCGCAGATGATACCCCATGATGCGAGCAAGTGCAGCTAGCTATGGCGAACATTATGGAACAAGGAAATTGGGAAGAAGAAGGGTGCAAGTGCAGCCAGAGTGATGTCAGCAGCGTGCATAGGCGCATCCGCCGACAAGCTGTGCGATCCGCAAGTCACTGTACAGCGATCTACAGCATGTACAGATACCTGGATTTCCCGTGTCGCCAGAAACCATTTCCCGTCGATTGGTTGAATGGGCCCACACTCACGGGATCCGTTAGACGACTGCCACTTGATCCCACAACAGACGACCACGTTCGAAGGTTGCCAGACTGGAGCAATGTGGATGACAGATGGCAAACTTCGTGTTCTAGATGAGTACGCTTCTGTTCATCCAGCGACAGTCGCCGCATACGTATGTGGATCGACGGGAAATGATCTATCCAACAGTACTGTGGAATGCCCCACCGTGCGACAAGCTGGCCTGATTGTTTCGGCACTATGCTACATCCTGGTCCTCTACTTTGTATTCAGGCACTATGACGCCCAACGATACTGGATATGTAACCCCACCTTCAGGGGCTGCCTATGCAATTTTCAGCAGGAAATGCCAACCACACAGGATCGCATCTGCCAACATCTCTGCAAGGTATACAGATGATTCCATGGCCACATACTCTCCTGACATGTCACCACGACATGTGGGATGTGATGGGACGTCGTTTGCAGACTATGCTCTTTCAGAGACGACTGTGCAAAAGTTGAAAGGGAAGAGAGCCATCTCAGGACACCCTCCATTCTATTGAATCTATCCTAGATTGTTTATTCGTTTATCGCTGTCCGCGGTGGTCCTACATCCTACTAGCCGACGCCGTTCTCGTCTGTATTCTGACTATCATTTGAAATAAAATCACTTATGCTGCTTGCTGTCTCTGTCTTTTTTCCAAATTTCACATTTTGACCACTCTTCTTCGTGTTGCATTTTCAATGTCGAGCAGGTATGTAAAGGAGGAAGCAAAAATAGCAATGCTAGGAAAGGAAACATTTTTTCACTCTAATCAATGCATAATAGCGACTTTTGAAAAGAAAATATCTTTCTTTAATTAAAGAATTGTAGGAATATTATAAATTAAACAGTGAACTCTCTCTCTTTTTTTTTTTTTACATTCATACAGTATGAAAAGATCTTAAACATCTCTCTACTGTTTCTCCTATCAGGTTTAAGAACTAACTTCATATGATCAGGATAATTTCTTAGGTTGTAGACTACTCCAGCTTTTGACGATTGTCCTTAATGAATTTTTTGGGAATTTTCTTATTTTCTCCTAAATTTCTTTTGCTTGTTCAGTTATAATTATTTTTACTTTATATTACATAGTGTATATATATTAGTATAAAATTTAGTGTATAAGTGTAAAAGACTTAGAGAAATTTGCGTATGCATATGAATATACTTATGATACTAAAAAACATCAAACTGAAGAGAAACATCTAAAGTAAAATTTTTAATTAGGCAAGAAAGCTACTTTATTTTGGCCTATGCTTTCAATAAAACCCTATAAATTTTGAGGCAATCAAACACAGGTCTCTCTTGTTCAGGAGTTTTTTTTCCCCCCTCCTGAAGAAGAGATTTAATATATTCAAACCTAAACAGAAATTCTACAGTTTTAAGAATAATTCCCATACATTTTCAGATACAATTTTAGAATTAAACTTTTTGTACATTATTTTAAAACAAATGCATAAAAGAAAAATATTACTGGTTAAAAATAACAGACACAATAAAAAAATATAAAATTTATTTAAGATTTTTATTACGGGATACTGAAGAACCAAACACCTGTGTCCACCCTTCTCCATGTATAAGAGACTTCAGCAGAGAACTGCCCAATGAAAATGACAGCTTGGGTTGAATTTTTGTAATGAACCTTATAACATCTATAACATCTGCACGGTACCCTACAAAAATGAATTGTAATTAATGAATTCCAGAAGTTACTATATTGCATTTATTAGACAAAAACTTTTTAATATTTCTTTTGTAATAAAAGTAAAAAAGCAAAAATGATAATAAAAATAAAGTAACTAAAATACGGAGTAAAATTAAAATTTTTTACTGAAAAAATTCATCAGCTATGATAAAATAATCATTCACAGTTTCATTAATAACATACAATATAAATAAGAAAAAGCACATAAAAATTAAATTATGTGCAAGTTTAGAAGCTTTAACTTAAAAATTAAAGGAAAAACTACCAGTACAGTTTGAAATAAATCAAAACATCAGAAGATTATTATTTCAAGAATATACATGAAAATGATGTCACAGGGAGAAAAAACATATTTTGCAATTCTCCTTTCATTTGCATTTCATGTTTTGACTCCAAAACATTTAGAAATATATTTTATTAGCTCACTATTAATTTTCTGTATTATTCTTTGGATTAAATCCTTTTTATTTAGTCCAGAAGTTTTCAAACTTATTAAGCCCACAGACCATTTTTTATAGCAAAAACCGGACCATGAACACCTAAGTGGAATTATTCTACATAACTGAAAAATTACAGATTTAACCTTGATGCCTTGAATGGTAAATGGTGACATAAAAATAAAATAAAATAAAACATTTTGATACTTAAAGTAATATTTATTGAAATTATAACTTTTGTTTGAAAATATAAAAACACATTATTTTTTAATGAGATGATAGAGATTATTTATGTTTGACTCTAAGCCCCTGAATAACATTCATAAATCTCTATGCGTACTAATTTCCTGTCGGTTTCTTTTTTCGTGATGAGACTCAAAACTGTACTAAATCCACATTTTACTAGATAGGCAGTTATGGGAAAGCAATAAACAGCTTCATTATAGTAACAAATAATGCAAAATATAAAATATGTAACTGTTTTTGTAACCCGAAATTGTTGTATTCTTGTTCAGATATTGGTTTCAGCTCCTCAGTTATGGATAACTCAATAAATTGTTCCTGTATTGGTACGGATGCATCTGAGTTTTGGGTCTAATTGCTAAAGGGTCCAAATATTCAAATGAAGAATGCTTTCAAATCTTTGGTTGAGATCAGAATGAAGAGCCCTTCAGTAATGAAAATAAGCAAGCAAATCTTCATCTTGTATTTTTAATTTTGAAAGATTTAAAAAGTGAGAGCATTCTCGTCTCCCCATTTTCGTTTATATGGAAAATTTTTGAAATAAATGCAAATATTAAACTTTTTTAACTGATTAAACTTATTTTATCACCTTTTAGTTTTAATCTGGTTTCATTAAATTTGGCAAATACTATTACTCAGTAGAATTTTTCTTATAATACTGAAAGATGGTTTATGCAGCACAGTGTATACAGTACAAAGTCTTTATTCCAGACTCGTCCGGACTTCGGCGATTCCGGATTAGGGGTTTTTCCAGATTACAGATCATCAATTTAAATCTGGTAAGATGGCATGCAGAAATTATAATATTAAAAATATGAAACTGTAATTTATGAAATAAAGAGCAATATGATCTAAAGGGTATCAAATTTACAAAAAAAAAAAAGCTTAATACTTATTTGTTACTTTAACATTTCTTTCACGCGCTCATGCGTAAAGCATACTTACGTATAGTCAAATTAGAAAATTGCAACAGGAAACTATTTGATGGGTATTCGTGAATTTATAATGCAAGGAATTGATTTAAATGTTCAAAGCCGGGTAATCTCGAGATGAAATACTACATTTAGTAAGGAATTATAAGCTGAATAAAATAAAAACATCTGCCCTGAAGATAAGGATAGTGCTGACAGATCAACTTCCAGTTTATTGCGCGCCGCGCCGTAACGATTACCCCATTTATAGCTGGTAAAATAAGTTCTTCACCAATGGTGCGTGGCTTTCCTTCTTTGCACCAGTAAAGAAATATTTATAAGAAGCATTCAGTCTATCATCATCTCGTTCAGATGTGGTTGCAATGATGGTGTTTCAAACATTTTCCTCTCACCGTTTTCACATTTTTCTCATACAGTTTTCTCTAACTGTTAAGTTAAATCTTTATCTTTCTTCTCAGAGGCTTCTGTCAAATGTTTCTTAAGCTTCATTGATTCATTTGACAAAGTTTTATTGAATAGAAGGCACTATATCCTAACAAAGTACTATATTCTGGTAATGAAATAAAGCTTTAAGTATTCAACACTATACTAGCAACATTTTTCTTCAGCTTACTCATATTGTTATATGTACAAAAAGGACACAATTTGTTTTATTTTACTCAGAATGTAAAGGGTACTTCTAATTTATTTTTTTATATTTATTTTACCTTTAATAATAATGGAAATGGGTCACAATAATTTTCTTCTATACTAAACCATTCCCATCCCCCAACATTGTCTACCTCCCTCAGCAGTCATAAGGACCCCTGAGGGTTAACAGGAACTACTGATTTAGTCAATTACCCATTTGCTTCACTCTCCCTTCATTTTTTAAATTTTGTTCTTCAGAGTTTAAAAAAATAAAAGAAAGGAATAAAAAAGACAAATGTGATTTATTCACATATTGTTACGAAATGTCCAGGTGCCCTAAGATAGTTTCCTCACAAAGCATGTTTAGGGTTGCCATAAATGGCAAGGGAAGGCAGGGTTGCCATATTTGGCGACAAAATGGGCTATATGCCATGGACGGATGGAGAACCTTCTGGAATGAATTCTTACTGGTTTAGCCCAGCACGTTTTCGAACACAAGCCGAAAGCTATAGAAACCCCGCTGGTCTGCAGTCAGTTGATGTGTGCCTCGTCTACCTGATAGTCAATCATTGAGCTAGTGTCTCGAAGTCCAGCGCCAAGTTGGTTGTCAAGTGCATTGAAGAGTCTCAGTGAATCGCCGTTAGTGCATCGTCGAGAGAGTGTGTTAAGCTCTGGGAATGACTGAGCCGAAAAGTCGGGAGCTGTGCTCTGTGTGCCGTCGAGAGCATCACGAGTTGTAGCCTGGAGAGTCTTGAGAGTACGTGGAGTTCCGAGAACGACCGAGCAGAGTCGGGAACTGTACTCTGGTGCTTTGCATTGAAGCTGTCTCCACCATTAAAGCCTGATAGTGTCGCTGATTGTTCCAGCGTGTTTATTGTAGATCTTCGACGACTGTTAAACGTGACTTGAGCTGTCCTGATTAATACTGGCTAAATAAAGTGTGTTTTGATACTTCATCAAGTGTCATCATTATTCACCCCAAATCCATACGAACCCCATACAAACATGAAGGAAGAAAATAACGTAACAACTAGTGTCAGAAGTAGAGATAGAAAAACGCAACAACTGGTCTCAGGAGTGGGTTTTGCGAGTGAATGCCAGTGATCCGCCTGCAGAGGAAAGCCATGGCGGAGGAGATGAAAAGTTTGATGGACATTTTAGCCAAGATAAAAGCCGGATGTGATACGATAAGGGCTGATATGAAAGCCGAATTGAAAAAGTTTAAAGCCAGATATGATGAGATAAAAGCTGGATATAAAGAGATGACAGCTGAGATCAATGCTGGACTGGAAGAGATGAAAATCCGACAAGAAGAAATAAATTTCGACAGCAAAGAAAAAGTGCAAGAGCAACTCCGACAGGTGAAAGGGGAGCTTATAGAAGAAACTAGAGCCATGAAAGACGATGTGGAAATGAGAGAAGTGGCATCTGAAGAATCAAAAGTTGAAGTAATGAAGGAAGTAGCTAATGAACTGCCTGAAAAAGATCAAGAAATGATGGATAAAACATCTAACAGGATTAAAAGAAAACAACGAAAACATGAAGAAATTATAGACAGGAAAGAAGATTTTGATTCTCACATGCCTGAAGTAGAGATAGAAGAAAGTGAAAATGTGACTGTCAAGTTTGTAGAAACTGATAGTGAAATTATGAAAATGCAGTCAGCAAGTGTTGAACCATCTGAAAGTGCATGTGATGCAGAGATGGGAGAAGCTGATGTACAGCTTCAGCAGCGTACTCCAGTATTGCAAGAAAATTCACCTACCTCGCAAACTAGGTGTGCGCCTCATAGTGCAAGTTTTGCAGACAAGGACTTGATTCTAAACCTGGATACTTGTGTTTGTGAAGAATTGGATTTGTTTGCGACTCTAATGCAAACATCGGAACTGGCTTTCACAAAATACAGGTAAATAAGCATGTACCATCCGCTAAAAATACCGAGGTGAACTATACACATATTGTGAATGATCTACAGAGTGGTGAACAAACTGTTTTAGATCTTCCAGTGGATGAAAAGTCTGAAAGGACTGAATCTTCAGACTGTGACATGCAAAACAGAGATGCGACTGAGAACTGCAGTGGAAAAGTATTTGAACCGGGTATAACTTAATGAAAAGACTGAGACCGAAATTCATTCAGAACTTTAATTTGTATAATTCGAAATTTTTATGTGTTTAATTTGTGTATATAACTTGTACATAGTGTAAATACTTGTTTCTTTAGTTATGTTATTTGTTTGTTTTATTACGTTTTGTTTGTATCGAATTATGCTTCCGACCAAGGGTTGTACTGCCCGGGACATGCAGTCCTTGGGAGGGGCCAGTGTTACGAAATGTCCAGGCATGGTAAGATAGCTTCCCTGCAAAGCAGGTCTAGGGTTGCCATAAATGGCAAAGGAAGCCAGGGTTGCCATATTTGGCGAGAAATCGCCAATTTGGCGACAAAATGGGCTATATGCCATGGACAGATGGAGAACCTTTTGGAACGAATTCTTACCGGTTTAGCCCAGAATATTCTCAAACACAAGGTAAAAGCTATATAAACCCCGCTGGTTCACAGTTAGTGTGTGCCTTGTTTAGCTCGTCGAGCTGATAATCAGTCATTGAGCGAGTGTCTCGAAGTCTAGCACCGAGTTGGTCGTCGAGTGCATTGAACAGTCTCTTAGTGCATCGCGGTGAGTGCATCACCGAGAGAGTGTGTTAAGCTCCGGGAATGACTGAACCGAA